TGGTGATCGGGGAGCTGGGCGTGGGTAAAACCAGCATTATCAAGCGGTATGTGCACCAGCTCTTCTCCCAGCACTACCGGGCCACCATCGGGGTGGATTTCGCCCTCAAAGTCATCAACTGGGACAGCAGGCCCCTGGTGCGGCTGCAGCTCTGGGATATAGCCGGTAAGGGCGGTGGGCGAGCCCCGGGAGGGCAGAGGCCTGGGAACCTGGCCGTCGGTGGAGTCCCGGGGCCTGGCCTCTGCGGAGGAAAGGCTGTTTTGTCCCTGAAACCCGTCTTCTTTTTCTCCTTTCCCCTGGTATTACCTCTTGTCTGCGTTCGAGGTGTAAGTAGAGGGAGGCGTCGACGTGGGAGCAAAGTGTTTTGGCTTTTCATAGGCTGTGTGTGCTCCTCTTGGCTGATGTCGCAGGGCTCTTGGCTTGGCCCAGGGGTTTTACAGCAGTCCTTGAAAAGCCACTCTGCTCTGCTCACTCTCTCCGCAGCTCCTGGAGGGTCCCTGCTTGGGCCGCTCCTCCTTGACCCGTTTGCCTGGGAGTTTGTGGCCTTGGTTATGAGTACTGCTGAAATTTGTTCGTGGCTATGGCTCCGTAACACTTCTCGAGGAAATAAATATATTTTCCAAAGAGGTTGTGTTTAATAAGCACGCTTTACAGGTTAAAGGTAACTCAAATAGCTAAAATGTTCTCAAAGGAAGCGTGCTCAGTCTTTGCATGTTTGGAGTCACCTACTTAATTTAAAAATAACCTGTGTGCCTGCAACGTGGATTTTATTATCCTTAGTTCTACATTCAAATCATGGGTTTGTATCAAAAAGATACTCTGAGAACACAGAACCAGAAAAGCCCTGTTCACTTGTCCAAACTACATGTTGTTCCTTTCCTACGTATGCTCCTTTCCTATATAATTCAAAACTCTTCTCTAATACTTCTGCCTTAAAGACCCTAGCCGTGTACTTATCCTGGTTAACTTTACTTATGCTGTAGTATCAAACACTGCAGAACAAACTCTGCTTTGCTGTGGTCTTGTAAGTCTGACCTCAACTACTTGTAAGTCTGTCCTCGACTCCTTAATCATCTCAAGTTGATATTGCATTTCTAGTCCTGTGTCCAGCCCAGGCATTAACCTGCAGCTCTCTTCATCCCTCTCCACTGCGTTCAGAACATCTCCTTGGATATGAAAAAGTAGACTTTATTTCAAATGCTTGTGCTTAAGCTTCCGCTACTGGAAGATACTAGGATAACAACTGGTAGTTACTGTTTCCAGGAACTCTACGCTTTATCAAGTGGAAGCTCAGAAAAGAGGAAGCGTGACATGTAGCTGCTGTAACCCTGTGACAGACCAGCTGCACATCAGCTTCTGGCCTTTCTGCTCTAGAGGTTATCTTAAAACACTTCAGATATGATTCCTCAGACTCAAAAGCCTGCTTCTTACTGCCATATGCTGAAACATGCCATGGATCTTTCTGCTGCTGGCCTGTAGGGCAAACTAAAGTATTTTATAATTGCTGTTTTGGAGAGCAAGTAAAATGTTGGCAAGCTTTCTTTTTTGATGCGTTCCTTTTACAGGTCAATTTTAACTTTCTTTAAATCAATTTGCAATATCAGTGCAAGCTGCTACAACATGCAACAACATTGTGTTTAAGCAAGTCTGGGGTTCTGAAGATTAAAGGGGGAAGACTATCAGGATCCTGGGGTTTGGCAGGCTGCCGTACTTGTGTTTAACATCTCTTCAACCCTTGGTTTCTGAGACTGGGGTAGGCTATGTGCTTTGCCAAAGCAGTCTGTTTCAACAGGCTAGGCAGAAGTGTGGCTGTAACTTGTAACAAAGTTTGGATAGAACCTATTTATTATGGGAAGTCCTATCAATACACCCACACATTAATTTGAAGATCTAGAAGACAGTATTTTTCACTCGTGATTATTGCGCTTGGTGTATCTTGGACACTGACAGGTGAAGACCGAGTTAAGAGCTGCTGATAAATCCCTGGAGGCTTGTGCTAATATTGCTGATAGACTGAAGAATAAATTCTTTCCTGTCCCTGAAATGTGTCTATACTATTCATAACACTTCCAGGCCTATTGCGAATGATGCCCTGCTAAACTGAATGGGAAATATACAACTGTTTTACATTTTGCATTCCAAACACTTTTATCTAATCTGGTAGTTTGGGTTATTCTGTTTCCAAGGGGGTGGGGGTCCTTTCCCAATCAAAAAAACAAGACCAAAAAGAGAAGTAATCTTAGTGATATTTGATTGGGCTGTGCTTAGCCAATGTGAGAGTAACAGTTCAGACTCCTATAGAACTCGACATCTCAGTTAAGCGTTAATCATTGGAATAAGATTTTAGTATCCATAAGGGTTGTTTCATGGTCTTAAAACTGCTGAAGTCCTTGTCCCGGGAATCTGTTCTGCAGCTGTCTGTGTCTATACTCATGAATATTCCTAAATCCCCAAGGATGTTAAAAGGTGTATATAGAAATTATTAGTTGGAGAACCGGGTTGAAGATGGCTTTTATACAGTCATATCGCGTATTCCCTAAAGCGCTTTAATAAAGTGTGTAACAAAGTATCTGAGCATGTGATAGTCATTCCCTTTTAACTCATCGGCCAAACTGTCTTCTGGCTTTCAACAGCTCGTGTAGATAATTTTGTCTGCTGGTGTGTGCAGACAGCTTTAGATCTCTTGAAGAGATCTAAATCTTATGGTAAGTAATGTTACATGTGACTTCCCTGCAAGCAATATGGTGCTGGCATTCTGAATTGATTATTAAAGCATTTAAAAGGACTTCTGAATTAAAGTGTAACCCTTAAGCATAGCAAGGCATGTTATTTCTCACTAGATCAAAGCTTGGACTTAACAGTTCATCAGAAAAAGCTTCCCTCAAAGAGATGCATGCTGCAATCTAAGGTTCTGTACCTAAATCAATGATAAGAACTAACCATGTAGTTCAGTCATCAGCTAAAGATTATAATGCAGATACTGTGCTGGCTTCTGGTGTGATTGTGGCCAAAACGACAAATGTTGTGCTGTTTATTGCAGTGCAGCAGGTTCCTGGGTGATGTCAATTTCTTGTGCTAGTTTAGTGATTAGATAATTCTATCAAATAGAGCATGACAATGTTACACTACCTATGTTTTTTTTTTTCTGCTGAAAATAGCCTTCTTGTTGTAAAGTACAAAGTAATGCAAATTCCTGCAGCAGAACCAAAGGGAGGAGGTGATGTGAAATAGTGAAGAGAGGAGAAGGGTATTGTATATTCCAGAATATACTCAGGCATTTTAGTTTTTAGACACAGGTTTTAGCTTCTTGAATAATGGAGGTAAAAAGCTTGGGAGTAAGACTGATCAATCACTGTCAAATTATCTTGGTTGCAGCATGAAGTATTCTGAAAGAAGCTGAACAGATTACATGCATGTTCATACAGGAGCAAAACTTCTAAACTCTAGCTGCCCTTAGGCCTTACTCGTTTTCTATCTTGACGTGGAGTTATGATAAATGTCTCTTCCTGAATAAACTCTGAAAGTGTTAGAACCAGGTTAACCCCTTTGATCGAAGGACATAAATAATTGGTGAAATAAGTAGGAGATAAGAATGAATCATTGTGGTAAAGGGATACAAACCAAAGGATTCTTGATAATACGGAAGTGCTTTTAAAGTCTGTTTCAATATACGAGAGATGACTACTCAACAAGCATGCTGTTTTAGTGAGTGTACTGCACCGACCACAACATAGTGTAGGAGGTGAATATAGCATATTGGTGAAACTCGGTCAAATATCATTGAAAGAACACTTTAAGGACTTCCTGTATCATAAAAACTTTTGATCTGATATAACAAGAACAGCAACTGAGTAGCCTTAGCTGCTGCTTTGTGATTACACTGGCTGTCACTGTTGCTCACATCAGCTGGTACGAATATGCAACTCGCTGGAGGGCAGGGGTGGTAAAAGTCACAGATGAACACTTGAGCTTGGCTTCTCCTGAAGAATGTCACTAATGGCAACTAGTAGACAAATTTGTTTCTAAAGGCTTGACTAAGTGATTCTGCATTAACTTTGCTGTAATAGCACCCTTCCAGGACTTTATTAGAATTTCTTTGTAGAAGTGTTTATTAAAACTAAATTCATGCTTTAACTAGAAAAGTGTGACTATGAAATCGGCCAAACAGAAGAGGAATGACTGTGCCTTGGTATTCTAAACGTGCTCTACATAAGTTTCTCAGGAGTTGAATGACAAGGCTTGTAGCATGCAAATGTGTTACTAAACCCTTGTCTGACTCCTTGAAAAGATACGAACTCCAACTAGTTAGAAGAATATACCAGTCCCCAAGAAGATGAAGTCAGATGAAATATTTTGCTCAAATACTGAGTTGAGGAAGAGCTGGAATGACCCATCTTTTCTATGAAGACAAGTGTGTCTTAGATATGTGACTTGACATTAAGTTGTTGACTTGTTTAGGAGCTTGCTGTCATCTATAGGAAGCCATGAGAAGTAGGAAAGTAAGTGCAGGAAACGATGGATGTGGGAGAAGGAGGAGGATATTCTAAGGCTTCCTTCAGAGTAGGGCAGAAAAACTGAAATGAGTGCTTGCAAAGCAGGACAATGAAGGCAAAATGCAAGCTTTGTCACTTAGATAAGCAGGAGTGATGCTACACCTGATAAATCTTATTCCATTGGGACAGAAGAGGTTGTCTTCTCTGGAAAGGTGGAGTGCTTTGTAGCTATGCACCTTCTGTGGAACATAGCTGTGTATCGATGTGTATTTTGGTGGCTGAGTTTAAGGCATTCAGACTGTTCCAGTGAGATGGCGTACTTCCATGTGAAAAACCTTATAGCTTCAAGCAGCTGTGTATTTCAGTTTTTCTCAGTCTGCATTTGTAACACTGAAATGTCAGAAGACTACCAAGTTGCTTCTATGTACTAGGTCACTAACTTTAAAGAATAAGGTCTAAAGCAAGCCTTAAGTGATGTTAATGCATCCCTGAAATTCTATAGGGGCAATTGGAAAACTTCCTCCATTTCCTATACATACATAGCTCTGTGCAAGAGGCACATACTTAAGTTGCTTTTCAGAGGAGTACTTCCTTCATATGGAGAGCTTCATGGTAGTAGTCTTTAAAGGTAGTCAAGGTAGTCTTGTAACAACTTGTCCTTACCCACAAAAC